CACACGATAAAAGAGTTTGGCAATTTAATTTATTTATTTATATTCTTATGTACATTTTTAAGTGTTAATAATAATTTTTAGCATGTGGATACATGTTTCGAAGAATTTTAATCAACATACCTACAAAGCCTTATTGACTCATACGGTAATATGATTATCCTAAATATATATGGAGATTCTAAAATCTCACACAATAAAGGAATTAAATTTAAATACATCTTTAATTTAATTAATTTAATATATAATTTATATATATATTTTAAAAAGCTTAATCGTTATATCTGCAGAGTCTTATTGACTCATACGATAATAGGTTTATTTTAGAAGTTTACGAAAATTCAAAAATCTCACATGACTAAGAGATATAATTGGTGAATATGGTTACAATTTAAATGCATTAACTTGGTTAATTAATCTTCTAAATTGGGTATTATATGATTGTTTAAAAAAATCATTTATTTATTATAACAATTAAAAATCACTATATCTGCGAGGACTTATTGTCCCAGACGATAATGTGATTAATTTAAGTCCTTACAAAAATTCTTGAAGTCTCACATGGGACTTAAATAAATTACTTAGATTAAAAAAAGTTAATTTTAACGGTGGGTCATTAAAACTATTGATTATACATATAAATTGGATCTCTATTCCTGTGAAACCTTATTAATTTACACAAAATGAGATCACTTTAAATGTCTGCGGAAATTCTTAAAATCTCACACGACAAGTAAATGATTAGAGATAAATTTTCTCTTATTCATTTCATTTTTAAAAAAAAGAAATTGAGTAAGAATCGAATTCTCTCCCCTCTGCCTTTTATAAAATAGGCTTGTCATAATAAATGAAATCGTACATGTAATCGTGATGGAGAATGCCATATGATATGAGTGCAGCAATATTATTGACAAGTAAAGGACCTTAGGACTAATGGAGATAAAAAAGCAAATCATGCTTATACTTATTAATATACACATTTAAAGACCTTGCTTAATAATTACACTAATTCTCTATTTGAAATGAGGTTGTGCCTAAAATCAAATTTAGCTTAGCTATGATAGCAAACAAAAATTATTATTTGTAATTTCTTTATTCTTCTTTTTCACACTCTCTTTTTAAAAAAAAATATGATAATTACAATGAAAATCATTTGGGAACTGAAAAATATGGGACAAAATATTTAAACATGAAATCTATTTTGGAATAATAAACAGAAATTAATCACGTGTATTGCAGATTCAGAAGCAAGAACCTGTGTATATGGGACGTCTAGATCTCGATCTCTTCTTCCTCTTCTTCATTTTCTTTGTTTTCAAAAAATTCTCCTTCATGTTTTAGTCTCCTCTTTCTCCTCTCCGTCTCTGTTTCTTCTTTCTCCTCTCCATCTCCTTTCTTCTTTCTTCCAGAAAAACTCTCTGGTGCTAGTTTCTTGGCTGACTCCGTTTCTCCTCTCTTTGTCTTTGTTTCTTCCTCTCTCAACCTATCTCTTCCCCTTCAGTTCTTTCGTGCTCTGTTTTCTGTTTCTTTTGTGTGTATGTTTCTCCTTCCTTTTCTCCAGCTCAAAACCGCCCCTCGTCTCTATTTCACGTTTGGTCTTATATAGGGGATGGAAGAGGTGAATCATTGCTCTCCTGCTCTGCTTCTTCCTTTCTGCTGTGTTTTCTGTGTGCGCCGAAGTCTCTGCTCTATTTTTCTGCATTTTGATCCCTATTTTTTCTCATTTTTTGTGCCGTCCCATCTGCTTTCTCTGCTGTGCCATCTCCTGCATGCATGCATGTGTCCTTGGTTCTGTTTCTTTTCTCCTGCTAGCCAAAAGCATATGCGTACGTGTTCCGATTGCTTGCTGTTCTTTCTGCTATATTTTCTTCTTCTGTGTTTCATGTCAGCTGTCTCTGGTTCTTTTAACGTCTGCAGCTCATGTGTTCGTGTGTTCTGCTGTTTTCTCCTTTTTCCTACTACATGGCCGAAAGTGTGTGCTTGTTTTTGTTTCTGCGTCTCTGTGCCTACATTTGGTCTCTCACCTTTGCTGTTTCTACATTTCTGCATCTCTATTTTTGTAAACAAAGTTGAAAGAGCTGTGTGTACATACGGCAATCTATTTCTTCCTCATTTCCTCTCTCCAGCCTTTGCAACATGTACGTTCTGCTCTCCCCTCTCTTTTTTTTTGTTTATTAACTTCAAGAATTAGATTAAAAGGAAGAAGAAAGAAAAGAAAGAAGAGAAAAAAAAGAAATTAATTTTGAGTTAAACTATAATATTTCTCTCTTTTTTTTTTTTGAAAAACAACAAGAATAAAGAGAGAAAAAAAAAGATAACGAAAATTAACTCTCAAAAGTTGATTCTCAAATATTTTTGAATGATTGAGATAATTTTAAAATATTTAAACATGATTTTTTTATTTTTTTGAAAATATAATATAATCCTAAAAAGGGTTAAATTTCATTTTTGTATTTTTATATTTTTTGATTATTTATTATTAAATTAAAAAAATGCCCGGGCAAAATATGGTGTTCACAGTTGCCCCTCTTTAATTGTTCTTATGTAAGTATATGAAAAGGTGTGTTTTTGAATTCTTACATAAGTGACAAGTAAAGATAGAACACGTATTTTGGTCGGCCACACAATATCTATGAAAAGACCTAATTGCCCCTGACACGACAAGATATGATTAAATGTAAGGCTATTATTTAACAAACACAATGACATGATTTTTTTTATTTTGGCAATGTGACGTAAATGAAAATGACTAAATGACAATAATCCAAACAAAATATATGTTGACTAGATGCCCCCTCTTCATTTGATTTCTAAGTGAGAATTTTATGAGATGATATTCTTATCTTAGAAATGAACGAAGAGAGAAACATGTATTTTGTTTGGAGGGGCAAGACTCTTAGGTACCTAAACAAAAACAAAAAAACAAAACAAAATAAAACAAAGGGTTTAAAATGAAATGTGATTTAGGAACTAAACAAAACAAAACCTCAATAGAGATGAATTGCCTATGTTCCAAAGGACCTGGTGAATGCTTGTCTTTACAAGGCTTAGAGGGTGCCTGCCATGACAAGGCTTTAAAGAATTGTGCCAAAGTGCCTGTTAAAGGAATTGTGCCAGTCAGTACTAGGGGTGTGCCGTTACAGGGGTGCCTGTACGTGACAGGGCTTTGAGGAATTGTGCCAGTCGGTACTAGGCTTTGGGATGCCTGCCGTTACAGGGCTTTGAGGAATTGTGCCAGTCGGTACTGGGATTTGGAGTGCCTACCGTTACAGGGCTTTTAAAGAATTATGCCAGTCGGTACTGGGCTTTGGGGTGCCTGCCGTTACAGGGCTTTGAGGAATTGTGCCAGTCGGTACTGGGCTTTGGGGTGCCTGCTGTTACAGGGCTTTGAGGAATTATGCCAGTCGATACTGGGCTTTAGAGTGCCTACCGTTACAGGGTTTTTAAAGAATTGTGCCAATCAGTACTGGGCTTTGGGGTGCCTGCCGTTACAGGGCTTTAAAGAATTGTGCCAGCCGGTACTGGGCTTTGGGGTGCCTGCCGTTATAGGTCTTTGAGGAATTGTGCCAATCAGTATTGGGCTTTAGAGTGCCTGCCATTACAGGGCTTTTAAAGAATTATGCCAACCGGTACTGGGCTTTAGGGTGCCTACCGTTACAGGGCTTTTAAAGAATTGTACCAGCCGGTACTGGGCTTTTAGGTTGCTTGTCATGACAGGGCTTTAGGGTATGAGAATAGGTTATATCTCACGTGGAAGATATGAGAAACTCACAGGTGAGGTTACTTATTTCTTCTCTTATTTCCTTAGGTTTTTTTGTTTTTGTTTTTTTTATTTTATCATGCTTTGCCCCAATCCAAATGAGGCATGTTTCTATAACGAGGAATGCAATGTGGCAACACGCCATGTATGATTTTCATAAGTGCTAAAAATATGTACAATATACCATGGATGGATGATTTGCAATGTAAAAGGTTTGGACCTTTGTTTATCTCAATTTATGAGACTTCTTTTGTGATATATGCAAAGAGTCAGATGCACTTATTTACCCCAATGCAAATGCATGAATAATGCAAATGTATTGCAAAAAAATTTATTGGAAGGCTTGATATTGACAACTATCTTAATATTTGTTCCTTTTTGAAAATTTTTGTGCATATTAAATAAATCATTTCGAACACAAGGTAATACCTCCAAGTCCGTTATTTAACCTTTATCCATTAATAGGTGTAGTATCACAGCATGCTGTTGCCCCTCTTTAGAAAATTCAAATGACCAAATTCTCATCGCTTGACCTTGGCTTCAAGTTAATGAGATCAACTATTATGACCGAATACTGATAGCACATATGCTCTTATTATCATTTTATACCTACGCGATGATCTTGATACCTCAAGGGCAAAAAGTATGAATAAAGATACCAGCATTTTACGTCAAGTAAATGTATCAATAAATATTGTTCCTTGAATGTGAACTTGTTGTAATATATGAGATATGAATTTGAATATGACAACATGAAAAGAGGAGAAAGTTGGTCTCAAAGGAGCAGGAGTGGAAAATTCATTCTCTAATGCCAAAATTCATAAAGGAATGGGAATATCTTGGCTTATGAGTATAAATGGCCTAAGCACAAATGGGATATGTGGATCCACTTAATCACATCTCTCTCCTTTGGCTTTTCAAAACCCCAACAAGTGCTTCACTGAGCTGCCATTGATATGCATAGTATGAGAGACGATGGAGTCAACTTTCCCAAACATAGATACTTAACTTCTGATGCCTTCCCTTTCTTCTCCTAAGACATCTTTTTGTCTTGGTGAGCTCTTCTTCTTCTTATCATTGCTTTGCTTGTTCTTTGCTCTAACTTTTACTTAAGTTGCCTTTACATGTTTTCAACCCAACAAGCTATTCTTTCCTTTTCATTTTCTATTGGCTCTAACTTTTGCCTAGGTTGCCTTTACAAGTTTTCAACCTAACGAGCGCTTCATTCTTTTTCATTTTCTGTTTAAGTAAAGTAATGCTTGACAGCATCCACATTAATGGGCTTTGCTAACTCTTTATCGTCCATGTCAACTAGGATCAGTGCTCCTCTAGAAAAGGCATGTTTGACAACATAAGGTCCCTCATAAGTTAGAGCCCATTTGCCTCTATTATCTTCTTGGTTAGGCAATATTTTCTTGAGTACAAGATCACCAACACTGAATTCCCGTGGGCGAATTTTTTTATCAAAAGCTCTTGCCATTCTCCCTTGGTACAATTGTCCATGAAACATTGCAGTGACCTTTTTCTCTTCAATCATGTTAAGTTGCTCAAATCGGGTTCCTACCCATTCATTTTCTTCTAAATCTACCTCTGCCAATACTCTTAAGGATGGTATTTCCATCTTAATGGGTGTAACAGCTTCCATTCCATAAATAAGGAAGTATGGGGTTACCCTTATGGATGTGCGTGCAGTAGTATGATAACCATGTAAAGCATAGGGAAGCATCTTGTGCCAATCCTTATAAGTTACTGTCATTTTTCCAATGATCTTCTTAATATTTTTATTGGCTGCTTCAACTGCTCCATTCATTTGAGGTCTATATGGGGCTGAATTATGATGCTTGATTTGGAACTTCTCGCAAAAGTTTCTGACTTCCGTTCTATTGAGATTGGGACTATTATCAGTAATGATCCTTTCAGGAATCCCATATCGGCATAAAATATTTGTCTTCATGAATTTAAGGAACGTCTTTTATGTGATGCTAGCAAATGAATTTGCTTCTACCCATTTTGTGAAATAGTCAATCACGACAAGAATAAAGCGATGTCCATTCGAAGCTTTTAGGTTAATTGGACCAATAATGTTAATGCCCCATATTGAGAATGGCCAGGGTGATACAAAATTATATAATAGGATTGGAGGAGCATTTATCCTATTAGCATAGATCTGACATTTGTGGCATTTCTTGACATGCTCAAAGCAATCTTTCTCTATTGTTAGCCAGAAGTAGCCACACCTTTGAATCTGTTTGGCCATAGTGTGACCATTCGCATACGTGCCACAATGCCCTTATGTACCTCAACCATGATTTTCTTTGCTTCTTCTGAACTCACACAGCAAAGTAAGGTACCATCATAACCCCACTTGTACAGAACATCTTTACTGATAAAGAATGTCATAGCCAAACGATGAAGGGTTTTCTTTTCATTCTCAGTCATTTCGGTTGGGTATGATCTCTTAGTGATATAGTCCTTAATATCATGGAACCAAGGATATTCTTCTTGATCTTCTTCAACATTCAGACACTATACTGGAAAGCTTTTAGCTTCTACTTGAATGGGTTGGACATGGACTCCACAATCAAGTTGGATTATTGCTACTAAAGTGGCTAAAGCATTAGCGAAATGATTTTTATCTCGAGTCAAGTGATGAAAGCTAACAATCTTAAATTGCTTAATCAAATCTATTAGGAGTTCTTGATAGGGAATCAATTTTGCATCCTTTGTTCTCCATTCTCCAGTTACTTGATGAATAATGAGAGCTGAATCACCAAACACTTTCAAACACTGTATACCAAGGTAATAGCTGCTCGAAGACCATTAATACAAGCTTCATATTCTGCTATGTTATTAGTACAATCAAATTCTAATTTGATGGCCACTGGAAATTGTTTTCCTTCTGGTAAAACAATCACCGCTCTTACCCTGTTTCCATGCATGTTGGCGGCTCCATCAAAATACATTTCCCATTCTTGCTCTTCATCATTTCCTTCATCACAAATTTCTTCTGTAGTGTATATGCCTTCATCAGGAAATTGAAAATCTAATGGCTAGTCATCCTTTAAAGGATTATTGGCCAGGTGATCCACTATCGCACTACCTTTGACTGACTTTTGCATCACATGCTTTATATCATATTCTGATAGTACAACTTGCCATTTCAGTACTCTACCTGCAATGTGCGGGCTCTCAAAGATGTACTTGAGTGAGTCCACTCGCGAGATTAGCCAGGTAGTGTAGTAAAGCATGTATTGCCTTAGCCTTCTAGTTGCCCATACTAGTCCACAACATGTTCACTCAATCATTGGATAACGAGCTTTACACTTGTTAAACTTCTTGCTCAAGAAATAAATTGATCTTTCTTTCTTTCCAGAATCATCATGTTGACCTAGCATTGCTCCCATTGAGTGAGGTAAAGTTGCCAAGTAAAGGATTAGTGGACGATCTGGTGATGGAGGGACCAAAATTGGGGGATTTAACAAATAATCTTTAATTTTATCAAAGGCCTTTTGACAATCGTCATCCCATGTCTCCTTGCAATTTTTCTTTAACAGCTTAAACATTGGTTCGCAAGTAGTTGTTAGATTGGCAATGAATCTAGCAATGTAATTCAATCATCCCAAGAAACTTCTAACTTCTTTCTTTGTTTGGGGAGATGGCATTTCTTGAATTGCCCTCACTTTATCTGGATCTACTTCTATCCCTTTACGACTCACAATGAATCCTAATAACTTCCCAGAAATAGCTCCAAAGATGCATTTGTTAGGATTCAATCTTAGCCGATATTTGCGCAATCTCACAAATAGCTTTCTAAGGACTCCAACATGACTCTCATTCTCTACTGATTTAGCTACCATATCATCTACATATACTTTAATTTCTTTATGCATCATGTCATGGAATAGTGCTACCATAGCTAGTTGATAAGTTTCCCCAGCATTTTTCAAACCAAAAGGCATTACCCGGTAATAATAAGTTCCCCATTGGGTTGTAAAGGTTGTTTTCTCTTTATCTCTTTCATGCATAGGGATTTGATTATACCCTGAATAACCATCCATAAAGGAATAGAGATAGCTTTGAGCAGTATTATCGACCAATACATTAATGTGGGGTAATGGAAAATCATCTTTCGGGCTCGCATTATTTAAATTACGATAATCAACACACATTCAAATCCGACCATCTTTTTTAGGAACAGGAACAATATTTGCCACCCATTGTGGGTAAGTTACTACCTCCAAAAATCCTGCTTCTAACTGCTTTATTACTTCTTCTTTTATTTGCAAGGACACCCCCATGTTCATTCTCCTTAACTTCTATTTCTTAAGCTCAACCTTAGGGAGTAATGGTATTTTATAAGAAGCAATGCTTGGGTCTAGCCCAGGCAAATCTTTATAAGACCATGCAAACACATCTATGTATTCTTTGAACAACTCAATCATTTGTTCCCTTTCAGGATTATCTACTATTTTGAGCATTCTTTGATCCTCCTCGATTCCCATATTAACCATCTCAATCACTTTTTCATGTGGGCATATTCCCTTATCACTCAATTCAAGCATCTTAGAAAAAGTTTGGATTACGTCTTCATCATCAGACTCACAATCATGCATATCAGTGGCAACGAGTGAATCATCTTCACAGGGTTTATCAATCTCTGGGTGAGAGATGGAATCAGAAGAAAAAAATCCCTGGATAATGAATATGGAATGAGATAAAATAAGGAACAAGAATGAAATGGAGAAAAATGTATTGAAGTAGATAGGGTGGAATGAAGAGATAGACATGAATACAATTGAAATTCATTTTCATGAATTACGTATATCAAAAGTTTGCATTAGAGAATACCCAAGATCTATTACCTAAACCTGGGCTCAAAAAGTGGATAACAAAATAGGAACAACATAATTAAAACAATTACTCTAAGCTAATGACATCATTGGCCTCTTCAAACTCGCAATTCGCCAGAACTTTGTTGGAATCAGCGATTGCAATTGAGGCACTTGTTCTACATGCTATATCTTCGTTAGAAGAGATACTGAGATAGTTGGTTCATATATCACCTCGGACGGACCTGGGAAGGATTCTTTGATGTGTGGAATCTCTAATTTACTGGTCTTTTTGCCTTTTGCCAAACTTGCTTTGTCTTTCATCTAGCCTTCTAGGGTAGGCTCATACCCTAACCCTTGGCGATTATAATTATCCAAAACCTTAATTGGACACGTAATCCCTTGTAAATGAGAGCCTAAACCTTTCCCTGGCATAAACCTACTCTTCATCATGATTTAGCCATGACAAAATTGATGTTATGAGTACTGTCACAAATAACGTCAACCTCTAAGCTTTGAAAGGAAACTCCATGATCTTTCTCTGCAGCCTCAATATAAGGGAGTGAGCTTGGTTTGCTCACCATGATTTCCTCCTCTCCTTTAACTTCTATAATTCTCCCATTATTGATGAACTTAACCTTTTGGTGTAGGATAGAAGGAACAGCTCTTGCAGAATGAACCCATGGCCTTCCTAGCAACATTGTGTAGCTTGGGTCTATGTTCATGAGTTGGAAATCCACCTTAAACCTGCTTGGTCCTATCTCCAAGGAGAGACAAACGGATCCTAATACTTCCCGTCTTGATCCATCGAATGTTCTTACTACAATATTACTTTTGTGTACACTTGAAGCTTCTAGTGATAATGATTCAAACGTGGAGAGTGGCAAGACATTTAATGCTGATCCTCCATCAATTAATACTCTTGCGATTATGAACCCTTCACATTTCAAAGTGATATGCAAAGCTTTGGTTTGGTGGACAGCAGTTTCTATAACTTCCTCTTCCGAAAAGGAAATGGTAGAGGAGGCTTTTACAACATTCATTACACTTGCCACCTTCTCAGGGGTTATATTAGGTTGCACAAAAGCTTGATTCAACACTTCTTGCAATGCTTGGCGATGCGCTTCAAAATTCAAAATCAAAGAAAGTATGGAGATACGCGCTGGAGTTTTCTTCAATTGGTCCACAATGCTGTAATCACTTTGCTTCATAATCAATAAAAACTCATCTTCTAATTTTTCCATTTCTTTAAGATTATATTCCTTCAGCTTGTCAACATTTGCATTTTTCTCTTTTACCATTTTCCTAATGTAAGATGGTAAGTATGGTTTTCCACTTCGAGTAACACCCCCTAGGTTTTCCATTTCATTATTTGTCTCAGCAATCAACATTGGGTTTTTGTGGTTCTCCACAATGCTTTGATATCTCCATAGGACTACTCGATCACTTTCATAGGGAAAGGGATGAGGCGTGCTTATGGTTAATGTTGGTTGTCTCGCGTGAGGTGCAAGATCTACAGAGTCTTTGTTTATCATAAAAGAGACTGCCTGGACTTGCTCTTTTGGGCTTGAATTTTTAATGACAAGCTCAATATATTTTTTTCTACCATGCACACTTTGGCATCTCCCTTCTTTACAGACACGATCCCTAACGCCATCATTTTTCTAACTGCTTCTTTAAACTGTTCACAACTTTCTATATCATGGCCTATTTTCTCTTGATGATATTCACAGTATCCAGGCATTTGATCATTGATATTATCTATGAGGAGCATTTCTCGCATATAGCCATACTCCTTTAAGTGAGCATAAAGCTCATTCATAGGCATCCTGATCCTTGCAGAGCTTTTGAAACACACATCCTCTTCTTCAATAGCGTTGACTCATTTTTCGTGATTTAGGAGTGGATCAGTAGTAATAGTAGAGCTTCCCTCTTCTTTAAGTTGGATATGGTTAGAATCAATCAGGTCTAGCACATTTCTTTTAAACGTCATATAGTCTTCTATTGAATGTCCAGGTACACTCATGTGGTATTCACAAATGGCATTTAGATTATACCACGCTGGGTAAGGTGGACCAAGAGGCTTATAAGGATGTGGACCTAATAATTGGGCTGTTAAAAGTTTATGGTACAGTTCAACATTTGTTAATCTAAAATTGGGCCATGGGCGACTATCCCTGGATTGGACATTTCTCCTCTCTCCATCTTGCCCGTGCTTGTTAGGCCTGAACCTAAATTGTTGCTGTCTTTGATTCCTTCCCTCTATTTGATAAGGAACTTGAGAACTGGTAGCTGCTTGTCTTACAGGTTGAATATAGTTCACATTCCCTTCTTTCTTTTTTTGGTTATAGTTCTTTCGTGAACTACTTTCAGCTTAAGAAGTGGCTATCTTCCCCTCTGGTATGTCTATATCAATCCTTTCTCCAATTACCATTAAATTAGCAAAATCAGTGACATGTGTTCCTATCATGTGTTAGTAGAATGGCTTAGGCAATGTACGGATGAAGTATGAGCAAAGTTCAGAATTCACCATTGGAGGTTGCACTTGTGAAGCCACTATTCTCCATCGTTAAGCATATTCTTTGAATGATTCTAATGATTTCTTGGTTA